TATGTGTGTGTGTGTGTGCGTGTGTGTGTGTGTATGCATGTGTGCGTGCGTGTGTGTGTGTGTTAGCGTGCGCATGTGTGTGTGTGTGTATATGTGTGTGTGTGTGTGTGTATATGTGTGTGTGTGTGTGTGTGTATGCATGTGTGCGTGCGTGTGTGTGTGTGTTAGCGTGCGCATGTGTGTGTGTGTATATGTGTGTGTGTGTGTGTGTATATGTGTGTGTGTGTGTGTGTGTATGCATGTGTGCGTGCGTGTGTGTGTGTGTTAGCGTGCGCATGTGTGTGTGTGTATATGTGTGTGTGTGTGTGTGTATATGTGTGTATGCGTGTGTGTGTATGCATGTGTGCGTGTGCGTGTTAGCGTGCGCGTGTGTGTGTGTGTGTGTGTGTGTATGTGCGTGCGTGTGCATGTGTGCGGGTGTGCGTGTGTTAGCGTGCGCGTGTGTGTGTGTACAAAGCCTTTCCTCTTACTTTCCCAAAGAGCAGAGAGCTGCTGCAGGACGTCTCCCTGGCAAAGCCTCCCCCTTCTGCAATCTCAGCTCCAGTGTCGTCTCTCTCATTCTCCAGCTGCTCTTCCACAGCTTTAGGAAGCTCAGTGTTCCTGTGGTACCATAACATCAACAATCACTGAACACATTCACTGTTTGCCTTCATTTGTTAACAGTATATCTGTGCATTGACACAGATCTATGACTGACAAAAAAAGATCTAAAAAGACTAAAATGTGCATACAGTAACTTCTCTGGGTGGTTTTAGAGACCCTTGTCCTTCACACATAAATATAGAGAATGCGAGAGGAAGGACCTCCTTTCATTCTTACTCCCACAACCACGAAGGTTTTAGCTGGAAAGAGGGAGAAAGGTTCTACATGAGAGAGACCGTCATTTGATGGTGGAAAGGAGCAGTCCAGATGCATATCAGACACCATCTTTGACAGAATATATGAATCAGCAGTTGAGGTTACTGCAGTAGGAATGGGCTTTTTTAGTTATCACCATATTTCTTAAATCCTTGCCTATTTAATTCCTTCTTCATTTTCAGCTGTGCTCGCAGCAAAAAGTGAGCGTGCCTTGTTCCTACCAGCAGAGGGCAGTAGTTGCATTGGAAATGAATGTAAGGTAAGCAGCAAAGACAGTATGTATGGTGATTATCTAACAGGGATAATTAATTTACACTGTACCGCTGGGATCTGGGGAAACATAAAGCACGCTGTTTCTCAAAAAGGTGATTTAAATTCAAATCCTATTTCTGGATAAACAGAGAGGGGCACACACACTCTCTCTCCACGCCGTGCGCCGCTCATCAGTGTGCGCTGTCTTTTATCAACCTAATCCCCTGACGCTGCACAGACAAGCTTGAGGGGAAAAAAAGGAATTCAATTACCCAAAACTGACAGGTATAAAAGAAAAGGAGGGATCGTTATGTCTGTGGTCTAGACTGGGACCTACAATGCAGTCCATTCAAAAGAAAACATAGTAAGTTAGCTGCCCAGAATGGCACCAAAGATTCCCTGTTACAGTAAATGAGTATATATGTACTTCACACTTTTATAAGGTCATTTTTGACAATGTTCCCATTTACAGTACATTATGATGTCATGTTAAGCATTGAGTGTTGCTTTGGTGGTTGAGTGGTGGAATTCTTGCCTACTAGATGGGAGGCCCAGGTTTGATTCCCTGATAATGCAGATATTATCCATGCGAGAATTTCCCTTTGGGATCATTAAAATTCATCTAAAATAACCCTTGTTACAGTTATACTGGGCATCTGTCCATCCGCGAATACGGTAGAATACGGTATACCGGTTCATCTTGCTGATTCCACCCTGCTTTTCAAAGCTGTCCAGCTGACTCTCTCTCTGCTTCTCCTCCTCCGGGATGTGGCCCAGGTCCAGAGTCGTCTCCTGAGGGAACCTACTTGGAAAAGATACCAGCAGCCACTTAAAGCACCAGTGTTTAAATCAGTAAAATCTGAGTCTCTTATCAGCCAGTACATGGTTAAGAGTCAATGTAAAGGCGTTAGAGTACAAAAATAAAGCCTGTAAATATTTAACCCTGCTTGATTCAGCAGATTAATTCTACTAAAAGAGCACTCCCCTACTAAAAGAGCACTCCCCTACTAAAAGAGCATTCCCCTACTAAAAGAGCACTCCCCTACTAAAAGAGCACTACCCTACTAAAAGAGCACTACCCTACTAAAAAAGCACTCCTCTACTAAAAGAGCACTCCCCTACTAAAAGAGCACCCTCCTACTAAAAGAGCACTCCCCTGCTAAAAGAGCACTCCCCTACTAAAAGAGCATTCCCCTACTAAAAGAGCACTCCCCTACTAAAAGAGCACTACCCTACTAAAAGAGCACCCCCCTACTAAAAGAGCACTCCCCTGCTAAAAGAGCACTCCCCTATTAAAAGAGCATTCCCCTACTAAAAGAGCACTCCCCTACTAAAAGAGCACTACCCTACTAAAAGAGCACTCCCCTACTAAAAGAGCACTCCTCTACTAAAAGAGCACCCCCCTACTAAAAGAGCACTCCCCTACTAAAAAAGCACTCCTCTACTAAAAGAGCACTACCCTACTAAAAGAGCACTCCCCTACTAAAAGAGCACTCCTCTACTAAAAGAGCACTCCCCTACTAAAAGAGCACTCCCCTACTAAAAGAGCACCCCCCTACTAAAAGAGCACTCCCCCATGTCAGGTCGCAGGTACAATGTTGCCCTAAAAGTGATAAATGAGCCATTTGATCTCATTCAGAAAATGCTTCATTAACGCAGTTAACGAAGCTGACTGCATCTCAGTGGGGGGGCGCAGGCAGCTGTGTGTGTGGGGCCCTGAGCAGACTAAGCAGGGCAGGGGACCCATTCACACACTTTTGGCTATAGGGACAGTGACGGCTCTAACAGCGTCATTTAAGCAGCACAAAAACATATGGAAACAAATGGAAAAAAAATACATTGTACAGCATTTAGCACAAAATTTGGAAAGAAATCTACACATCTGAGCTAACAAACATAGAAAAATCATAGTTATTGTTACTGAAGCACTCCAGCAGTAAGAATGAAAATGCTCGCAGTATAGCACAATTTTTACTTCTGTCTACTGTATGCTACTATAATTAATTAAACATTTATTTTTTAAGTGTCCCCACTGAGAAACAGATAACATACTGTACTTACATACCAATTTCAAAAACAAATCTTTTTTTCTGTCCCAAAATTTCCTGACTTTTTCCAATATTGCTGCTACATTTCTATGTAAAAGGCTCCTTGGCAACCAGCTGGCGAGGATGATAAATATAAATATAGAACAAAACTCATTATTTTATACTTTATTTTGTGCATGTTTTGTGAGATATTTAGCAGTGTTTGACATAAGGAATGTAGGCCCGTGCTGTTCTTTATCATGAATCAGTGAGATAAGTGCGGAGATGCTTTCAGCTAGACGGCAATTCCTGCCCTTGTGATTTAGACAGAAAAACTCGCTCAGAGATTTAAAAAGCAACGAGGGCACTGGGAGCTGCGGCCTTCATCCTGGCATCGATTACAGATCAGTCGATGCGCTTTCTCCTCTAACGACCGCTCAGGTGTGACACTTGGATTGGTCAACATGGGCAACTGGCTCCAAGTGCTTAATTACAGCACAGCTCTGCAGCAGAGGGCAGTCAGTGTGTGACCTCGCACACGCACCCCCCCCCCCGCCCCCCCGGCCCCGGGGATTGAAACCATCCATTAAAAATTCATGAACGCATTGCTAATGAGCAGCCACTCATAATATTGAGTAGGATAAAAACAACAAGTTAAATACTGCATGTCTTTTTTGCTAGGAATAGGAAAGTGTTAAAGATATTAGCCGAAAAGGAAAGTAGTCAGTTTTTGTGTAAATTAAGGGCACGTGGAGTTAAGTATGGCTGGAACGATTTGGGTTTTAGAGAACGACACAGAGGGGCAGAGCCAGAGAGACAGACTGGGACATACCGTCCATAAACATGTTCTAATTATTTAGCCACTTGTTTCGATTTTGATTAACCTGTAAGAAATTGTGGGGACCTCAGCCTCAGTGTACGTGTCATATTTTGCACCTGATGAATAAACGGAAACACTCATTTGACGGCAGCTACATTAGGAGACCAATAGAAATGCTCCTTATTGGAGTTTGTGGCCTCATAATTGATGAAGCGCTGCATGGACATCATTAGGTTATAGCCCCGAGTATTTTAGCCCCGGTGCCAATCTTCCTTCAAAAAAAGTCCGTAAAAAAGTCCAGGTAAACTTGACTTAGCTCCTGATCATTCCGATAGCTAGGAGCTACCACCGGATCATTCCGAACAGCAATACGGGGATTCTGTACCTAATGCAGCAGTGCCGCCGATCCGCCAGGAAGAGCCAGCGATAGGCCACTGGCAGCAGGCCGCGGTTGGTCAGGGTGAGGCGCCGCTGGCTCTCCGTGTGGCTGAGAATGCAGCCGAAATCCAGGCAGGTGCTGGAGAAGTGCAGGTTGGGGAAGTGCACCTCCCCCCGGAGGCCTACGCTGTCCCGCTGGGGGTGCTCCAGGTGGCGGATCTCCAGGTCCTCCTCAGCCACCCGTGTCACCCTGTCCCCTCCGTGGGATGGGTCGAAGCGCACCCACAGCGTCACCTGCTGACCCACGCCCAGCACCTGGAGCTGCCAGCGAGTAGGCGTCCGGGGCGATTACTGCCCGCAGCACAGTAAACGGGAAAAGCCCAAACCTGGCATCTGAACCCGAAGGGCGGTTTTCAGAAACTCACTCAGTCCACAGGATGCATTTCTGTGGGCTTAGTGAGTTTCAGAAATTTAACAAAAGGTCTTTGTTGGATTACATGGGGATTGAGTGCGTTTTGATTCACAATACTATAAAATATGATGAGGAAGCATGACTTTAGGAGGTCTGGGTCAGTTTAGGAAATCTGGTCTTCAGTTGTTCTTTTAGCTTCTCCAGAATGAATGACGTTAGTAAACAATTACTGCAATAGTAGGTTTAACAGCAAGAAATATGTTACTAATCAAGATTAATGTAAAAGTGAAAAAGTGATTTCATAACACTGATGAATATTATTAGCACTGAATGTTAAGACAGACTGCAGTGAGTATAACAGGCTTCTTTAGTGCTACTACACGTAGGTAAAATGAAATAGACTCCAGTCCGGGGGGGTGATCACCTTTGATGTAGTGAACGAAGGGTCATTTAGGTGGTCACACAGACCAAACGGTTTGGCCAGAACCAGCTGCATGGAAAGGTTGAGCGAGGACGCGTTGGTCAGGACAAGAGGTTGGAAGAGTGGAAGCAGGGCTTCTCCTGGGACCTGGAGAGAACAGCGTGTCATATGGCACTATCTTTCTCAGCCAATTACACACACACTTCACACACCTACCAAACCACCAGCTCACTGCAGCTGTCCTGTCCTACAATGAACGGTTTCCATAGAAACCACAAAGCCAAACAGGACGCAATATTCCCATCACCCCAGAAATGAGCTCAGAGACTGTAATCTATCCCAGGCATAGCTGGACAGCATGGAGAGCGCTTAAGGGTTAAAACTTTATGAGAAGATTAGATGGAACAAAAATGGGACACCTCAGTAAACCTGCAGTGGTTCAGTATGGCACTGGAGATGGGGAGGCATCTGCCAGTGAGACTAGACTATCAGGATCATGTCAGGGAGCAAAATCTGGACGGAGTCACTGCGGCATCTGAGGGGCTGTAATTTGTGGCTAAATGCCCCGTCGTAATTAAAAACCGAGGACGGCACTAAACGCCAGATGCTACGCTTGCTAAGTTGCTAAGTAGAACTTCCCTTATCTCCTGTTCGCTTTGTCTGTGTTTTTTAACTCTGCGTGTGCAGACCCTCAACGGCTCTAATTACTTCATCCCTGAAGATTTGCTGCTTAGGCTGGATTGTCAAAACAGACAAATGGGACCGACTGACATTAAATTTAAAAATGTAGAAGTAAATTAGCGAGCAGCAGCTGCTGGAGGAACGTGGAAAATAAATGATTGTATCTGCTTCTGCTTGAAATGAATGAATCCAGCATGTCAACAGCCTGGTATGGACTGGACGGGGGGGGGGGGGGGGGGGGGGGGGGGGGGGGGGGGGGGGGGACGGAACTCAAGCAGCTCAGGGATGATGCCTGTTTCTGTGATGACACTGCTGAGGGGATTCCGAAATCCTTAAAGAGGCCCAGAGAGGGATCTCTCCATAAAGCAAAAGAGATATTTGGGGACAGGAGTGGAGATGGTTTTGACATTTGCAGGGAGGAAGAAAGTGAGTAAATGACAGTTTTTACTGCAGCAGCACAACAGGACGGTAGTAGGGCCATTGATCCGGTGATGCGTGGGGAGGGTACTGCATGGGTTCTGCCTTGTAGCGAATAAAATGAGATGTGACCAGTGGGGAGAGAGGACCAGGAAGCACTCTGTCATGAGCATCTCCGTTCGGGCAAGAAACACTCAAAAAAAAAATTTAGCAGAAAAAAGCACAATGCATCAGTCCTTCATGCTCATTTCATGAATCATGCAGTGAAGGTGATGAGAGCACAGAACCAGGCGGACATTTCAGGAATCATGCAGTGAAGGTGATGAGAGCACAGGACCAGGCGGACATTTCAGGAATCATGCAGTGAAGGTGATGAGAGCACAGGACCAGGCGGACATTTCAGGAATCATGCAGTGAAGGTGATGAGAGCACAGACCAGGCGGACATTTCAAGAATCATGCAGTGAAAGTGATGAGAGCACAAGACCAGGCTGACATTTCAGGAATCATGCAGTGAAGGTGATGAGAGCACAGGACCAGGCGGATATTTCAGGTCCTGAAAGTAAAAAATCCAGATTTTGTTTCAACCAACCAGTTGAGTTCTTTGTGACTGTGACTCTTTATAGTCAACTGGTTATTTGAAACAAAATCTTATGGACTTCTACTTTCTGGACCTAAAATGTCCACCTTTGCACAGAACAGATTATTTTACCAGAACATGAAAAAAGAATGCAAGTAATAATGAGGAAACACCTTCTTCACAGAGAAGCTGAGCTCCTGGGCGGACAATTCCAGGACAGGAGACACAAAGTGGCACGTGATGTCCGCCGTCAGGATCACTCTCTTGCCTCCCTGCTGTCCTGTGATTGCTTGACACACCAACCTCTCCTGGACGACCTGAGAGTGAAGACATGGAAGCGGCCCTCTGTCTTTCTCCAGACATCACGCTGACTTTCACTGCAAGCACTTTGGAACCCAACCAAGCAAAATTGAAAAACATGCTAAATCTGGCTGTTTTGTTGTAAGCAGATTATGTGGCAAAAAAGACTTTGCTTTGTGGGTATTTTCAGGAGGTGCTGTCTTTGGGGGGAGTATAGAGAGAGTAAAACCTGTTTCAAAATAATACACACATGCCTGAACGCAGCAATACAGTGACAAACACAATGAGTGTAATGCAGTGTATTAACTCACAGAAGTGTAAACACACTGCAGATACAGCAGGAGGGTGCAATTAGAATCCAGGGATCATGCTTTTAAAATTTTTTTAATCTCCAAAATCTCCAAATCAGAAATGTGAAAAGTAGGGCAATATCTGAGGAAGATGGCCAGTTGATTCACTAGCTAGTGAAGTAGTGAACAGAAACCGCATAGTGAAGTAGTGAACAGAAACCGCATAGTGAAGTAGTGAACAGAAACCGCATAATGAACTAGTGAACAGAAACCGCATAGTGAAGTAGTGAATACACACTAATACTCTATTTCTGCTATTTGGTTTTGAGATGCTCAGCACGATGCAGACATTCATACAGATTCACCATGTACTGCTTTTTACTAGCTTTTGTGCTAACTGCTAAATGAATGCTAGCAAATGCGACGCTAACAAGGCTGAGGTCTTTAGCATCAAGGAAGTGAGCATTAGTGGTCTGTGCAGTAACCTGCAGTGATATCAAACAAATGCACCTCATACTGCTTTACATGTTGTATCCAGTATGAATCTACACCTGGCATTCCCAACCACAAAATAAGAATTTCACTCATTATATAATAATATCCATTAACGATTTTCAAATTAGCCCATTTGCAATTTTAGCATTATTTAATTTATTTGGTTTCTATTCGTTATGCAGAGCTACAAATAACCTGTGTTGCAAATCCAGCTGTCTGGAGTTACTTCAACCTGGAGTTACTCAAACCTGAATGTTCTTATTTTCCAGTGCTTATTTACCACTGATTAAAAGGCTGGTGGCATAAGCGTCAAACCACTTAGACAGAAAGCAATTAGGTCCTACAGTCCCATAAGGTCACACCAGCATCACACCTGTTATCACACATAGCCTGTGGTCTTTGGCTACAGGTTAAATCAAGCAGCATATGTGGAGAGAATGTGAGGAAAATTTCCCTGGTCCCACCAGGGGTGAGAGATCAAAGATGAACAATTAAATTCCTTATGAATAAACTGAATGGAAATGGGGGGAGTTAGGATGATTCCAAAGACTCCTGGGTGACAGGAGTCTTAAAAATTTGCTTGTGGGAGTTTTACTTTACTTTACTGAGGGCTGAACGAAAAATTATTGGTTCAGAAAGATAACCAATCAAATTGTAGAGGAGGTGGGTCCAAGCAGCTACAGACATCTGATTGGTTGCTTGAATTCACCTCCTCTACAATCTGATTGGTTCATTGAGATAACCAATAATTTTTCGTTCTGCCCGCGGAACATTTTTGTTAGGAGCGTAATTGGATTGGTCTGAGTTGGGGACCCAATATGATATGTTTTCACGGGCTCAGTGTCGCTGGGTCATACTGTTTTTGAAATGACCGCATCAGCTGCTGCCAGCAGTGCAATAAAAAGCCTCCTGACTGAGAGCTGATGCTGCTGTTACAGATATAACCGCGCAGCTGGTAAGAGGCGCGACTCTCACCTTGGGCGCGTGCGAAGCGCCCGTCAGCACCATGTCTGCAGACTGGCCGGGTGCCAGCTCCAGGCGCGGGGGCTCCAAGCTGAAGACGGGCCCGTCGCACTCCGGGGCGTGCAGGGAATCTAGCCGTTTATCGCCCCCAGAGCTCCCGGGGCGGGAAGGTGGGGCAGCACGGTGCCAGAAAGGGGGGAAGCCATCGGTCATCCAGTAGAGTTGCTGGGAGTGACGGCCTCGGTTCGTCAGCTTAAAGCAGTACCTTAACACGCCGGAGCTGGAAGTGGGGGATGGGTCAGTCGTCATGACAACTAACATATGACAACATGGCTTCCCTTCTACATCTCTAACATACAGAGCCGTCATAAAACTGGCTGGATACATGTATGAATGCCCAGTCTTCCATGCATAAGCCATCCACGAAGCTTACCTCCAGGAGCTCAATGTCACACAAACAGGCTGAATCGCCCACTGGAGCTCATAACCAGTGCATTCTCCCCAGTAGCCTTCAGAGCCATGCCTACATGCATGGGTGATTTTATCGGGGGTGCGGGGGGTGCAAATGTATCTCCTTCTGGTTAGATGAAGATGCAATTTGAACATATTAAGTTCAATAAAATGAACTGATACTGAAAAATTATATTTGAAAATGTGACTTGTGTTAATGATATGTGTAATAATAATTTATTTTGAATGTATTTACTATTTTTTTTTTTACAAATTTAGTTTTCTGGATCGATTACCGGTTGGGCTCTCTCACCCCCTGCGAGATAAGCCTGGAGTCCCCTGTGCCTACATGAGCAGATATATACATCTGACGGGGGGGGGGCATTTATATGACATTTTCACTGTATATGCTGTCAGGAATGGGGAATCCCATCGACATGTGTTTGCATACGAGGGATTAACCCGGCATGAGGCTTCTTAAGTCTATAAATCAAGATCAATAAATCACCTACCTCTTTCACCCTTTATTCTATATCAGTAATAATCATTACAGTCCCCCCCCCCACATATGCGTATGTAAGGAGGCCAGCTACCTAAAATGTGCGCCAAGGTGGAGGCTGGGGGCGAAGGGGCGGTCCGTGACGATGGTGGTGCCCTCGCCCTTGGCAGAGACGGCGACGCTGCGGGCCTGACTGTGCTCGATGGCCAGGTGCAGCTTGTCGTGGAAGGGCACTGTGTCATCCAGGCAAGCCACCAGCATCAGCTGCAGCTCCCCCTCTGGGGCCACCGCCCCCTCGCTGGGCTCCACCCGCCACTGGGACCGGCGCCGCACCTGCCGCCCAGAGGGCATTATCACCTTCATTCTGCTTGCTGCAGAGCAGCTTATATCTCAGCATCCGCCTTCGACCTTCCAGACTTACAACCACCCCGCTGATAAGCAGCCCCGTTTAAAAGACAGCAACCCTTCCTAAGAAGGTCCACTTGCAAGTGTTAAATACCCAAAAACTTCCATTAAGCGACCCTGTGTTTAAAAAGCACACATGCATCCATCTTGCAAACATTTTTCTGGGGCAGGATCACAAGGGGAATAGGGCACAGAGCCAGGGAACATGGCGGACTGGATGGTAGGCCACTACAGAGCTCAGATGGCAGGCCACTACAAAGCTCTGATGGCAGGCCACTACAGAGCTCAGATGGCAGGCCACTACAGAGTTCAGATGGCAGGCCACTACAAAGCTCTGATGGCAGGCTACTACAGAGCTCAGATGGCAGGCCACTACAGAGCTCAGATGGCAGGCCACTACAGAGTTCAGATGGTAGGCCACTACAGAGTTCAGATGGCAGGCCACTACAAAGCTCTGATGGCAGGCCACTACAGAGTTCAAATGGCAGGCCACTACAAAGCTCTGATGGCAGGCCACTACAGAGCTCAGATGGCAGGCCACTACAGAGCTCAGATGGCAGGCCACTACAGAGCTCAGACCCACACTGGTCAATTTATAGATTGGGCCGTTAGCTGAACTGCATGTCTTTGGATTGCAGTTGGACAGCAGACAGACCCATGCAGCACAAGGAGAACGTGCAAACTCCACACTCATAGAGCAAAGGTGGGATCTCACCCCTGAACCTGACGGGGGTGAACACAAGTACCCCCTGAGACACTGTGTTGCCCAAAGCACAGATCCAGGAGTTAATATTTTGCATATATTTAATATCTCCATGGTAACAAAATCACAGCCGAGGTAACTCTAAGAGCAAGGCAGAGACCTCTCCCTGACCAGTCTACCCTGAGCAACCCCCCCCCCGGATGATGTCCCCAGGTGAGGTCAACAGCCCCCCCCCCCCCCCCCCATAAAAAATGCACCTTCACACTTCACACTTTCCTTCCTTTTTTCCAGGATAATTTTACTCTAATGAAGGCTACTTTATTTCCCACCTCGTGTTATTTCCTGGTGTCGAACATCACATCAGTCTGTTTGAATGATCTATAGGAGCAGGGACTTTAACAGACTCACAGTAAGAGCGCCCTTCTTTGCCCTGAGGATCACCTTCAGCTCCAGCTGGATCTGGTGCTGCACTTTTCATCCTGTCCAGCATCACTTTACCACGACAAAAGGCTGAGGCTGTTTTGGAATGACTATATCACGTATAGTTTTCATAAACAAAAGGAATTGATAATGCAAGCATTATTCAGGTGATTAAAAAGTGTAACGATTCACCTTGTTTTTAATGTAGTGGATGATTGAATGGAAATATCTGCCTACAGAAAGATGTTTTTACCTGAGCTATTTACAGCATGGAAGTCCTTGAATTAGCATCTGATATATCTGCCAAGTTTAATGGAGTCAACTCTGGGATTGTCTCCTTTCCTCCAACTCCAACTCAGGTCAGGAAACTTCTCGGCAAAATTGCAAGTCATCAGTAAACAACCACAGGGCACCGTTACTGATCCATGTCGCACCCGGGAATCTGTTTGCTAAGAAACAAAAACACCTTAGAAAACATCTCACCTGAAGGAATCTCTTTAGATCAACTTCCCAAACAGTTTGAACCAGCTATATATTTAGCATATATATATATATATGCTACAGTAAATGGCACTGAATGCAGATACTGGGACACCCCATTCTCAAAATATAAATAATGTTTTCATGTTCTTAAAGCATAAATATATTTTGCATCATGCTGCTTTTCTGCTTCAATTCCAAACATAATGAACCCTTCAATGGTCCTCAGCATCTTCTATCACAATCATTCACTGTATAATGAACTCAGCAAAGTAACTGTTCGTTATTCACGTCATATTGCCTGCAGGACTGTAACATTGCACTGTCCTTTAAGAAACTAGCTCCCTCACTTTATGAATCACTCATTAACATTGTGAATGTGGCATTGTTACCCAGACTTTTAAAACTATAATATTTTAAGTAACATCTGCGATCCTATTTCACAGCTACATACTGTATGTAAAATCCAAGTCATTTTTAAGAGCTTTCTGGGTACTGTTTTGGGATTGTACTATAAACTATATTCTAGATAAAATGGAAGATAGGAATAAAAACCTGTGGATGTGTCTATGTATTGTTCCATCTTAGTACACCCCTTACTTTAACTGCCAATGACAAACTTCATAGTCTTTAAATAAAAGCCAAAATGGGAATGAAATATATTAATTCAAAGAAACTCTGAAGAGGCTTATAGGGGGGATTGTGTCCTGAGGGTGGAGTGCATGCATATTCATTTCAGTTAATCAGATCAGACCTGCATGGTTCTCTAAACCAAATTACTTCCAAAAAGATGGAGCCCTGAAATAGAGCCAAATGTAAATCTCACTTACATGCACTCAGTCTCCTTAATGACTTTAAAGCGTTAATTAGAACTGAAACACATATTCGCAAGTTCAAAACACTCATTTGCGATGTGTATCATATCATTTAATTTTCTTTGGTTATAAGGTAGGTCTGTATGTCTTTACCAGACCTTTAATGGTCCTAATTGAGTTCTAGGGCAGCTGCAATCGATTGACATCTGGTGATGTTTTGAAACTGACCCACCTTATGAATTCCTGGAAACTCTGAGGCAAGAAAGGGATCAAATCTCAGATCGTCCAACACATGAATGAACACACTGCTGTCTTATCACACAATTTATATAATCAGACATCCCACCTCTCCCAGACGTACTGGGAGTCTCCCACAGACTGACACTCACGACTCGTAAATGTGTCATTCTGTTATTTAGTGGTGGTTAAATTTGCCGGCAAGGAGCTTGACACCTTTTAATGCCAGCATCACTCGCCCCCTCCTCCCTGCAGAACTTCCAGCTCCTTGAATTCAACATGCGTAAGCTGGGATGTCTGTATAATGACCATAAACTGAGGATAGCTTTTAGAAACCCAGGATGTTTCTACAATAAAGCAATACTCATTTATAAGATGTTTTCCATTGCCGCCATCACTGTCCATCGGTACCTCCTGAAGTAACATCCTACAGTCTCTCATTAGCATACCATTCCTGCCTTCCTATTTTGCCTATATTGCCTTCCTAGCTTCATAATCTGTTCCTTAGCCATAAATTGGTCCATTAGCCTCCGTTCTGGCTGGTTCAAAGGGGGTCGGTTGGGGTCTAACGCCCATGGATCAAACAGGACCAAAGACATAAAATCTGCCAGCAGTTTGGATCGTCCTGGACTTTCCTGAAGCTAATTATGCTTGATTTGTTGGCTATCCAGCTTAATAATGGTCTGAGTGAGGGATGAGCGCTCCCGCCGGAACGCAAAAAGTAGAAGTAGGAAAAAAGAGAAAAGAAGACATTTGCACCAATTACAATGGCAAAGTGTTCTGTTGAAAAAAAATAATCCTCATTCAGTTACAAAATATCAAGATGCAATTGAACAAACTGCGTTGTCATGCTAAATGTTGCAGAGATCATTTTGTACCACATGGAAGATGTGAGATTTGTATGAATGCACAGACACAACCGTGCATACACATGAAGATGTGAGATTTGTATGAATGCACAGATGCATCCGCGCATACACATGAAGATGTGAGATTTGTATGAATGCACAGATGCATCCGCGCATACACATGAAGATGTGAGATTTGTATGAATGCACAGATGCATCCGCGCATACACATGAAGATGTGGCCCAGAAGTATACAGCATTATTACAGCATCCTGTCTAGGGTGCAGAATGTTATAGGGTCCAGAAGGTTATAGGGTCCATACCCCCCATGACCCACTGACCATGGCAAAGGTGGTACGGTTAGCATTGCAAAGGCTAATGGAAAAGCATTATGCCGCTTCTTTCCATACACGCATGAGTTTCGTTATATTACATTTAATAAATTGAGCATTTGGAATAACAAGACTCTCATAAGCAATAATATACAGTTATTGCAAAAGAAAAACCTTCATAACCTTTCATACATAAACGACTTTTCTTATAGTCAATTCAGAGGCCTTGTTTAAAACAATTGTTTCCCCATAATGCTGTGTTTTCAACATTGCAGAAAACCAAAATGCATGACCGAAATGACTGTATCTGACTCCTGTTGACAGGGTGGGGGTTACAGACCCCCCAGACAAAGGCCACTATCTACCCTTTTTCCCACCACAACAACCTGATGTCCACAGAGCAAAAAGTGTCATTAATAACACAATTATAGGAAGCTGAATAAAGCCGAATGTCAGGATAAGAGCAAATGGGCCAAGATAGACCTTCGCTGACCTTCGACTCTCCCCTTCTTTCCATTCTCCGCTTTCCCATCTGTGTGAAGACATGCCTGAAATGTTGGAGGGGTGGCTGTACGTACCATGTGGGCCAAGAAGGGGGCTGGGATGGGAGACTGGTTCAGGAGCCTCACTGTCCTGGGGACGTCGGTCAAGACCGGGATGCTGCCGAAGTCTAGCTCTGTGGGGCTGATGTGAAGCACGGGACCCTCGCCGACCCCGGAGATGATCAGCTCCTGTGGGGCGGGACGGTTTGGGCGGATCTCAAAGCAGCTCTGTTATAATGCCTAAGCTTTCACGCCAAGAGCTTGCATGGGGCAGAACATACAGAAGCATACATTTACACATTTAGCAGGCGCTTTGGCCCAAACAAAGGTACAAGTGAAGCAAAAGGCACAGTGCAAACATTCATGCTGACTTAGAGTCACCTACGCATGTCACCTACGCATGTCACCTACGCATGTCACCTACGCATGTCACCTACGCATGTCACCTACGCATGTCACCTACGCATGTCACCTACGCATACAATCAGCTGGGCTGAACTTCCAGTGAAGTCCCAGGTACAAGTGTAAGCAGTATTACAGCAGGAGCTACACATCAACTCTCAGAAAAAAGGGTAAAAATGTGTACTTTTGCTTGTCACTGTACCCTTGTAATTGTACCTTTTAATTGTATAGAATCTGTAACTGTATAGAAATAGACTCTGAGGATCTTCCCAAAGGTACAAACAGCATTAATGTACCATAAATGGTACAGAAATGTTCCTCAGAGTCCATTTCTGGACCTTAAAAGGTACAATTACCTACAGGGTACAATTAGCAGACAAGGATAGGTACAAATTTGTACCCTTTTTTCTGAGATTGTACACAACAATTTTAAATAACCTAAATAGACTATTTAAGGGGCAGAAGTGCGACATTCCAAGAATGAAAAGAGGTTATCGGTTGGCTCTGCTGAGTGCTCCTACCAGTGGGGGTTCCTCACTGCCAAACACTGCGATGTGAGCAGCCACCACCAGCCTGCCCACGGTCTTGGCCTGCAGAAGCAGAGGTATCTCTGCTTCACCTCGCGGCTGGATTATCCCACGGGGATGTGGGCAGGAGTACAGAAAAGAGGGCCCCTCCTCGTGCTCCTGCATAGGGGAACACGGACACAGACGGTCAGGGAACACCGAGCATTAGCCAGAGGAACCGTTCCCTGCAGTTTCCCAGAGGTTCTCCTCCTGACCTGCGGCAGCAGACCGTAGCAGGCGGGCAGGTCGGCCTCGTTGGTGAGCTTCACGGACATCGTGAAGGGGTGGTTCAGGAAGCAGCCCTCCAGCTCTAGCGTGGGCTTGACCAGGCGCACCTTGGGCACCACGCATCTGAGCAGAGCAGAAGTCAGGAAGTACAGACAGACAGAGGAGCGTGAAGGAGGCTGGGCAGGTCTACTAGGTCCGCTCGGGGCCCCTTACCTCGCATGGATGTGCAGGGACATCACCTCCTCCCCTACTCCTTGCACATCTACCACCAGGGCCAGGTTGTACATCTGCACACGGTTAGGGCACAGAGTCGCCTGAGAATTCAAAGAGAGAGAAGAGGAGCATGACTGACTGCCTACAAAGATCAAAGATCACACAGATCACTGGAACTGCACAGCCTTTTAATAAAAACACCCAACCTGTCCCACTAAAAATGAAAGAGGAATATGCCTCCTGTCCTGCTTTCATCATGGGCATGGCGTGTCTTTGCTGTGTCTGTCTGGTTCACGATGACTGACAGCTGAGCGCTTGTTGTCTTTGATGTTAGACATGTGTCACTGAGCAGAAAGAAATGCATCACCACATGACAAGGGATTCCCAGGTGCGAGCAGCTCCACTGGGCCTCATGACCATCATGTGACAGAGATGTGCAGGAAACGCGACTGTTATCTATTGATTGGAAGCTGAAATGTGGTGTGGTCATGCTTTAATGAGCGCGAGGTCGGTCAGGCTGACGAGAGGCGAGCTCTCGATCGATGCCGAAGGGGCCCTGACATATGACACTCTGGTGCTTTTGTTAGCGCTTGTGCACGTCACAGATTGGTGTCAGGGCACTGACGGTGTGCTAGGAATCGCACGTCTGCCTGTCAGTCATCCGATCGAGCGGCAGGGCCCACGCCCCCCCGCCCCCCCCGTGTGCTCTCATATTTATTCTGTTAGCATGCCGGACAAACAGAGCGACAGGGCGGGATGGGAATGGCACCCGAGTGAAAAACTGGGGGGGGGGGAAACCAGTCCGAAAGACACATCATCACGAGTGCCGGGGAGCTCCCAGTAACGGGTCGGGGGGGCTGGAAGAAGCCGGCAGGGTGGGGGGGGGGCACAACTGCCCACAATTCACAGTCTTTCTTAAACTGATTCAAAACCTTTCAAATAGAAAATGCGAGAACAGCCACAAGCTTATTGGCTCACAGTGATATGATTATACATTTAATTTAGAATAATAAGCATTATGTAAGTATTATGTAAGGGTTAATGCATGACAAGCCGTGCATTATGCGTTTTTAAATGCATGGCTTGGAGTGCATTAACACGCTTATACCACAGTTACAATACATCTGGCTTACACGTTTGAACACATTTGCAGAAAATGCATTTACCAGTGAACTACTTTCTTCTGCCAATGATTAAACATTTTCTGTTCATTTGTTATTCTGTTCTGTGCCCAGAAGGTTAAATAACGTCAGTCAGAATTGAAGATTACAATCATACATTGATTTATTACTGGCTGCCATTACATGTGCAGTTAAAAATCAAAACCCCTTTTGTCTAATCAGATTTGAGAATCCAGCACTGCTGTAGTATAGAAATTATGAATGTAATAATATGCATGTATGTCATGTCAATGTTAGTTACAACAAACTGGAAAATTCACAAACTCTGATAAATTGTTTATTCTTTCTGTCCCATATTTTAATTTTAGCTTTAATTAAAATGTCCTTGGCTTCAGTAAAACACAGCAGTACCCAAATTAATACCTGGACGTCGACCAGCCCTTGGGCTTGAATGGTGCCGGAACTGGGGCCGAGCCGGAACTCCGCTGGCTGGACCGTCGGGTCGCTGTGGCCGGCCCAGTCGGTGCGGTTTGGGTCAGAGACCTGGTCCATACTGCTGATGCTTGGGGGGCCACTGCCATCACCCAGGATGCGAAGGTTGAAGGTCATGGGTATCAGAGAGGTGTTGTTAAGCTGGAAGGTCAGGGTACAGGGGAAACCTGAGAAGAACCAAAAACAGAGAAAGCATGTAGTAGTAGTAATAATAATAATAATAATAATAATAATAATAATAATAATAATAATAATAATAATAATCCATCCCCTTATGCAGAATAGGGTGACAGAGGGGCCGTTACTTGTTTCCTAACCGCTCTGTTACAGTTGGCAGGCATAATTAATCAAACATGATACAGGAAAATCAAACCGCCTGCCAGAACCACAATAACAGAGAGCATGCTGGGCAGTCCAGGCACCCACCGAAGGACACGTCGCCGAAGTTGAGCTCGGGAACGCTGAACTGAAAGGTGGGTCCCATCACACGACCCCTGCAAGAGGCAGAGGAGCGACCAGTTATCATATTTGATCTGAACAAGGCAGAGCCAGTGGAGGTCAAACGCGGCTGTCTGGTGTGGAAAAAGAAAAGTGAGTAAACACAGTAGTTAATCCTCTATATACAGTACCAGTCAAAAGTCAGGACACAAATACTTTTAATACATTTCTATCTATTTTAGCCATGTCACTCACCTTACCGTAAAAGGCCTTGTGGCAATGAAATAATACATATCAAATATTGCAAAGACCCAAAGAAGTGTGTAACATTTCAGAATTTTCTCAGATTTTAGACTCTTCAAAATAGTCCCTCTTTAGTTCGATGACAGCATTGCAGACTCTTGGCATTCTTTCAATCAGCTTCCAGATGTAGCCACCTGGAATGCTTCTCCAACAGTCCTGAAGGAATTTCCACAAGTTTTTAATATGTGTCTAGATTTTTGACTGGTATTGTATAATATGGGTATTTTGGCTGCAATAATAATAAGTGTCAGAATGTAAAGTCATCATAACTTGAAACCAGCCTTTGTAATTAAACATAAACCCCATCAATCCAGCCAGAATGCAAGTCCTGAGTATGGAAATGAGCTTAATGAATGGACCTGAATGTGAGGCTGATTGGTTGGGGGTTCCCCTCCACAGCAAAGAGGATCTCCTCGCTGAACATCCCGAGGATGCCCGAGGAGAAGGAGACCACCATGGCGTGGCAGGAGCCTGGGGGGACCGTGTCCTCACTGGGGCTGAAGGAGAAGCAGCGGCCTTGGGCAGAGCTGGGCGGCACCAGGTGGAATGGGGCGTCAATATAGCCTTTGTTGGACAAGAGCACCTGCAGAAGAACAGGGTCCCAAGAGGAGGGAAGACAAAGAGCCGTGGGTGAGAGACAGGTGAGCTGGCGGCCTGACGCGTTTGTCCATTACAGGCGGGAACTTCTCTGGAGCAGCTCAGGATAGGCACCATGTGAAGATCTGCTACAGTAGGGCCCCTCCTAGACCTTCCACAGCAGCCCTCAGCTCAGAGCCACAGTCAATGTCTTTGACTGATACTCATCTTCCCACCCAAGTTATACTAATCGGAAAATTGTGCACTTTTTGCAGGAAGCGAACATGTACATGACCTTATGCTATATTTGTGTGTGACGGGTTAAAGAGCAGTAATATACATTATTAATGCAGTGGACTCTAAGCGGTTCTGTCTTATAGAACACACATGATAGGTGTAACAGATTCCCAGAACTAGCTGACCTGTTTTATAGGTCTAATTTACATTTCAATCTCCACTCAATTGTTATATAGATCTGTTCATTCAACTACGATAAACATTCACCTTAATCCTTTCATCATCCAATCCCTCTATAGATTTTTTTGGATGCAATCATACAGTAAGGCCATCAAATACGCACAGAGAATATGTGCGTCATGTGCTGTGTAACAGGAAGCACTGATCACCTGCACCTTTGGTGTGTGTGAGACATTCTAGAAGCAGACTCTGCTACAGGCACGGGACACCAGTGTGATATAGGCAGTCTGATCTCTCACCTCATAGCTGTGCTTTGAGTGGATGAAGATGTTTCCCACGTCCAGCAGGTCGAAGCTGAACTCTAAACTGGGCCCGATGCCCTCCCCTCTAATCCGCAGAGGTAAGCGACTTTCTCGACCTGCATGTGATCAGGTGAAGGGAAACAGCTATATAACCTGCTTACAGAAACAGCCGCTTACGAACAAGCACTCAGATCCAAGCCAAGGATACCGATCTGAAGACCAAGAGAAGATGACACATTCAGTGAATGAATTTATGTCTATGAATTCAGACACAGGGGCTCCCTATAACCACCCTCCCACCCCCGGAAAACACTCGCATTTCACAGTCTACTCTGTTCTGCAGGCAGTACGGAGACCAGTGAGACAGCAGTAATGGAATGAGAGAGGTGCAGCAGTGATCGTTTACTCTCTGCAGGAGACTGAGCAGAAACTTCAGAAGCTCCATCCAGAACCTTCTTCTGCCCCTTCTTCAGAAATGTGCTGGGTGGCAGATGAACTGCTTTACCGCAGACTACAGTGTTTCAGGGTTTGATTTCGCTGGTGTTAAAAGGGTTAGACATCATCACTTGTAATTAAAGGTTCAGAAGACAAAAATGAGTAGCTTTGTCCTGGTAATGAAGAATGGGTGACGCATAAATCCACCAGGCTGTTTCCTGCCCCCTTTATATAGGTCCATATTTTCTACACTACAGCCAGAAACTTGAGATGTATATTACACCTAAAGTCCAACAGACCTTGTCAGAGAAAAGAGATGCAGACCATCACTCAACTGCGACAAACAAGAAGAAACTCCTGTGGAGGCTTGATGTTACAGCAACGACGGCCTGCTCTTCTGGGCTGGACCAGCAGTGTGACTCAGCTTCAAAGCCTCTCTGATAACCATAACTTATTAACATATGAAGGCAGGCCAGAGAAAAGGAACGATCTGCTCTTGGCTGGATTAATACATTTATTTCATCACAATAACACAACAAAGTTTGTACTTCAATAATAACGTGACCAGCTTCACGACGTTTAAGAGGAATTTGACATCTGGACATGGAATCTGTGATTACCCCATAATTACCAAAGGGCATCATCAGCCATCTACCCTGGTATTGATCTCCATAAACCTGTTATAGAATTGCCTGCACAGGGGGCTGTCTTGTTTTTTTTCAGTCATCAATATGACCTTTGCTGGGGCTCAAAACCCAGTGTTCATGCCAGTGCAGACACTGACCCCCACGGGCATTTCCAAGGCAGTGCCGTACCCAACGGTATATAAATACAGATGAATGAATGAAAATCAGAGCTTCAGATATTAATTGTGGCCAAATGTAAATCCATCCACCCTTAAAAGTTAATTTATTTTATTTGTGCTGTTAAATAGCAGAACAATTTTATCACTTTTGTTTTTGTTTTAAGTTTCCAGTTTTAAGTTTCTAATCCCACCCCTAATTGCGGTCAAAATACTGTTCGGAACAAAAGCTTACCTTAATATGTTTGAATAAACAATATTTTTATTTTATTCCAAAAAAAAACTGGATGAGTTTTGAAGGATGTGAATTACACTGGAGCTCCAATTCCAATTCGAGTTTCCGATTCCAGTGTCTTACAGACCTGTTTTTGTATGTGAGGATGTCACTGTCTCACACCCCACTCACATCTGCATGCTGTCATGATCGCATCAAGCTCGTACGCTGCGGGAACGGCCAGCTTCCTCACCTGTAACATCGCAGTATACAGTCTGCTGATAAATTTTGACCTCCTGTGGCTTAAAAGTTACGGTGAACTCGGCCGTCGAGTTGGGCCAGATGTCGCCCTCCTAGGGAAAAGAGATCAGACTGAAAGTCACACGCTATCAAACTGCTCGACGTTTGGCTGGTTCTATGGTCACAGCACCGAAGCAAAGCAAGAGAGGCTGGGCTGTGGAAGCTGCAGTGCCTTTCATTTCGGAGGATGGTGGATATGCAGGTGCAACATCATAACGGCAAAACCCAAAGTGGCCCGACTCTGCCCACTGTGCCATCACTCCGTCATACCCACCTGCACGGCACAGCCTAATGTGTCTCTGCCCGCTGTGCCATCACTCTGTCATACCCACCTGCATGGCACAGCCTAATGTGTCTCTGCCCGCTGTGCCATCACTGCATCATACCCACCTGCACGGCACAGCCTAATGTGTCTCTGCCCGCTGTGCCATCACTGCATCATACCCACCTGCACGGCACAGCCTAATGTGTCTATGCCCGCTGTGCCATCACTGCATCATACC